ATCTTACAATTACACTCATATGCAGCCTCTTTTCGCCTGCTAATGGTGTGAAGGGGTATGGGATGGAGGGGAACAATTCAGTATGCTGGAGAAACTTGTTTGTGTCCCATGCATCTTTCTCCACCTTGGCTCACTGCCTGATTTTTGGGACATCTGCTATATATATATGAACTAGACTACCCAAATCCATGTCGGCAGACTTTTTTTTTTTTTTGATAACAAAACATGCAAGCTGGAGAGTAATATGTTCCCATAAAAATGTTTTCATCTTGATCAAATATGAAAAAAAGTTCTGAGTTGATTGATAAAGATAAATACAAGTCCAAAGAGTTAACTCTTGAGCTTCTCTACACTAACTTTGATTTAAAAAATTTTGACAGTTTTTAGGTATTTAAAAAAAATTATCCAACAAAAAAAATTCAAGATTCATGCATTTTTAATTATGTACTTGCTTCTTTTAAATGCATATTTTAAATTTCCTTTTAAAAAAATTCTTTAACCTTCAGAAACAGGGGTGACTATGATTTCTTCCATTTTCAAAGCACATGGGCTAAGGCAAAATATTACGCTTGAAGTTCTTAGAAAGTCTTTCAAAGAGTCTTACACAAAGGATTTGGTTTTCCCTTATTTCCCCTCTTCACTTTCAATGTTCAGAGTGCATGAATCTTATTCATTAACTGAAAATAAAGCTCTGTGATGCATTTAAAAGTTTTAAATTTTCTCATGATTTCTTGAGAAAAATTAGTTTATTTATTTCATGTTATTTCTAGAGACCTGAACAATGTCTAAAATGTCATAAATTTAATTTTGGTGATTTTTTCCTTCACTTCCATAATTTATTTGCTTTAATTTAAATTTTGAAAAATTAAAAATTTCTCAATGAAAATTTAATTTTTTACTGAAGGATAAACTACTCCAGATGAAAAAAAAAATGTATTTTAGCTAAATCATCTACTCTGCATGATGCACTAAAGAGCTGCTTTCATTTACTGTTAAAATATATCAGGAAAATTAAGCTTTACATGAGCTTTTATCAGCAAATTAAGTTTTACATTTTGTCATGCATTGCCCACGAGCTCAGGAGGAAAGTAATTTGCAGAAATATAATTTATAAATTAAATAAACTTCAAAACCAAATAATGTTCATAGTAGGAAATGTTCTAAAAGAAAGGAGAAATTAAAAGCAGACTGAAAAAATATCATAAAAAGTATAAATATGTGTACAATTTAAAAATTTTTTTTAGTTGTCATTTTACAATGCAAAACAGGTGGTTTTAAATTTACAATTATTTAACAAAGCATTTTTATTTACAGAATGTGGATCCCACCAAATAAATTAATATTTACAGTCAATTGACTACAGTTATCATTAATGTCTGAAAAATAATATTACTTGCTAATTTTTAAAAACATAATTTAACACATCACTCAGTAAACTCATATAGATGACGCCACCTCCTAACCTTCCTAAACCTAACCTAGTAGTCCTAACCTTCAAATGACATGTGTACAAAATTTTATGACAATCTGGCATTTTAGTTTAAAAGTTACAATGGCTTTAGTGAAGCAACTTTTGTTTGTTTATAAACAATGGACAAGACAGAATTTCATGTGTTGATTAAATATTGCTTTTTGATGAGGAAAAATACTTTTCAAACAAAGCAATGCCTTGATAAATGTTATTTAGACTCAGCTCCATTGTCAACAATGGTTAGATGTGGCGTGCTAACTTTAAACATGATTGCGCAGACACAAATGATGCTGAACGCTCAGGTCGCCCGAATTCGGCAGCTGTTCCAGAAAGCATCAATAAAGTCCACAAAATCATTTTGGCTGATCAAAAACTAATGTTGTATGAGACAGTAGAGAAGTTGAAGATATTAAAAGGGAGCGCATTCACTATTTTGCATGAATATTTGTCAATGAGAAAGCTGAGTTCAAAGTGGTTGCCATCTTTTCTCATAGTCGATCAAAAACAATAATGCATCGATGATTAGAGTGCTGTTGTTAAAGCGAAATAAACAAGATTTTTTACATTGATATGTGACAATGGATGAAACATGGATCCATTACTACAAGCCTCAATAAAAAAGATTGTCAGGCGAGTGGATAGGATGTAGTGAAAGTCGCCCAAAGTGACCAAAAACTCAAACATCAGCTGCAAGGTTATGGGCCCCGTATTTTGGGATAAGCATGAAATTTTCATTCATTGACTACCTTGAGAAAGGCAAAACCATTAACAGTGAATATTATGTGGCATTACTGGATCGACAGAGTGAAGAATTAAAGAAACAAATGTCTTCAAATGTAAAAGAAAATGCAAAAAAAAAAAAAAAAAAAGTGCTGTTTCATCAAGACAATGCATTGTGTCAGAAGTTGACGAAAATAATGGTCAAACTGAAAGAACTGCACAAAGACCAAGCAACAAAGGCCATTGTTGAAAAAAGGAAGTGATTTCTCCATAGATAGAAGGCACTGCAGACAAGAAAGAAAGCCCACTCTTTTAAGAGTCCAAACTGAAAGAAAACAGTGTTTTTTTTTAAAAAGTGTCCAAACAATAGTTAATAAATAAAATCCTTATGAAATTTAACAAAAGAAAACTTTTTATATATTTAAAACACACGATACAGGAACCTGCATATAAAACTTGTATACAAAAAACTATAAAAAGTTCTGTCCCTATACAGCAGATATAAAATGTTTTCATTTCAAAAGCACTAAGGTACATTTAATAAACCTATACTTCTACAAAGCACACAACTGATTAAAAGAAAAGAAAATGAAGATACTTTTTGATTATCTGCATCTTCACGAAACATTATGAACTTGTTCATGATGTTGTGAATTGGTTTAAAAAAAAAAAAAAAAACTTTGCTTGGCTATCTTTATGACTCATATGGCTGTTCTGGGTATTTATATATTAGTGCTGCTGCAGCAGAATTTTCAAAATGCGCGGCAAACTCGGGAATCCACATACATGACAATTCTTCAGGGAAACTATGCAGATAACAATTCTTCAGTTTAAACGAGTAGCATTGCCATTTTCACATGCATTCTTTTTGTCATATTAAAGTTTCCAATGATTTTTATATGCAAATTGTGATTTTTTTTTGGGGGGGGAGGGGCTTAAAACATGCATTTCGTGATGTACCTAAAATTGAGGGTAATATTTCTGCTGGATTACGGTATTTTGCTGCAAAATCTCTTAAGTGAATAAATTGCTTAGAATTTGTTCTTAAAGAAAACAGTATCGAGTTTGTACCAGAGCAAATAAAAGCTCACTTTTAATAAGATTTACCAATTGATTTTAAGGATAAATATCTAATTAAAGTGCAAAATATGTATATAATAAATACTTTTTGCAATTGTAAGGCATCATTCATTTTCTTCTGTAAAATATGGTCTAGGGATTGCACTTATGTATATGTTTCCTAATCTATTAATAATTAAGAATTAATGAAGCACTGAATGTAGCACTGAAAGCACTTTTCTAATGTAGTAACATTGGCAAAAAAGTGAATTTGACATTTTTCTGCACTGGCGAGAAACAAATGGTTACTGATCTGCACATGCATGAGGAGAAATATTATTAAGGTACTAACTGTTTTTTTCTAATAGCATGGTGTAAATATTTGATATACTTGTGATTTTACAATGTGAAATATTTATTTTAAGTCTTCCATCACCAGAAAAAAAAAAAAAAAAGTTATACGGCACAAAGTCCAAAATCCAGACTCGTCGAAACTTCAGTGGTTCCAGATTTGGGATTTTTCCGGATATTAGATCATCAGTTTAAATCTAGTAAGATGGCATGTAGAAATTATAAAATTAAAAATATTAAATCATGATTTATGAAATAATAAAGGGATTGAATTTACAAAAAATAGCTTAATATTTATTTGTTTACCATATTAAACATCTATTTCAATGTAAGTTGTTTAAGTTGCTTCGTTTTTTGTGCTAATACTTTCTCTTTAATAATAATAATCTCTTGTTCAATTACATTGTTGAAGTCGTGTAACTGCCGTTTTGAGAATTCCGATTAACTTGTCCATCGAAATTTTCTCATTTTCAATAACTTCTCTGTCACTTTCTTCACTATCGAAAGCAGTATTTTCTGGATCTAGAACCATCTAGAATACTACAGATTTCGCCATTTATTAATTGATTGATGATTGAGAAGCACTGTCATCGCAATGAAAAATTTCTTATATATCATCTTCATTTGTTACTGCTTCTCCTCATTTCTTTACAAAATCACCCTTTCTTTAAGTGGTTGATAACATTAAATCCACTTTCGTTTTCATAGCAACCCACTGATTTCGATAGCTTTCCGTTAACTCCATATCATTAGAAAATTCATCTTCATTAAAATTTTCCATTTCTAGCCATTTTATTTTAACTTTTTCATCTAACTGAAATAATCTGTCAGCTTTATCATTAAATATATTAAATACAGATATCAAATCAATACTTACTGCTTCATCTTTTAGAACAGTATCCACTTCTTTCAAAAAAGTTGTAAATATCGCCGTAATTGTGTTCTTTCCCGTTTTAAATTATCCATAGTCCTGTTCCACGGATGCCAATATTTTAAAGGATTCGAAAATAACTATGGATTTAATATGAAAAAACACTTTAATTGCAGATATTTCCAAAAAATTTAGAAGCAGTTATTTTTACAGAAACGACAGAATTTATTTTAAAACATAAAACCTAAACAGAGTTGAGTTGTAGCTGATATTACTGCAACAAATATAAAACTTGTCAATTCATGTGTACATAGACATCTGTGTGGTATGTGCATGTGTGGATTCACTGTTATCACATACATACTTGTAAATGCACCAATATATGTCCATTATATCAAATGTTGAAACTGGGTAAGCATATAATAAGGAAGTATGAAATATTTACAAAATTTATTACATAGAAAACAACAAGGTATTCTATATTATATTGGACATAAAAAATAAATAATCAAAAAGCACAAATCTTACCTGCATTATGAGTTTTTTAAAGTTCGTGCAATCACTCCAATATACCTGAAAAATGAGGAAAAAATCACTCAAGTATTAAAAAGGATTAACTTTAAATATCCTACTTACTTTTACACTTCAGCTTTCTGAAGATTGCTGCCAGAGATATGTAGCAATTATAAGGAAATGGATATCACTTATACATACTAAAAAAAAAAACTGTTTATTTCCCATCTACAAAGAGTTAAACTGAATTTGAGCAACCTGGTTTTGAACTTACATGTGAAATTCTCCATTGTCAGATAAATATGACAGAAAATATTTCGGAGATATGTTAACAGTTAAAAGAAAATGACAGGCAAATTATACAACTTAAAAACAATAGGGAAATTAAGTAAATCGCAGATGCATGCAGATACTTACAGTTTTAACATTTGTTAACATAAAATATGCATAAATATCCTAGAAACCATTTTTCATAACTAATATTAATAATACACAATGTTTAAAGTTCCTTATCATAAAAGAAAAGTAAGTATAGGCAGACTATACTTACTTTTCTGAGAAGTGGCAAACAAACTAATCAATACATAGTTTATGAGGTACTTAAGTATTAATGCAATCACCCTGGCACAATTTGGCTATTTTTAACAGACAAAAATTGGATGCAAGCTGATGATTATTATTATTATTGGTATTTATCTTAAGCTAGGAAACATTCTAAACATTTCAAAATAAAAGTACAGTTTTAGAATCCAAATTTTAATTCTTAAATAAAGTACTTATTAAATAATGTAACTCTTAATAAAATCTTTATTAACCCTGGAATGGAGAAGCCGGCGTACAGAGTACGTCAATGCCATCTTTTGGGCTGTAACTTTTAGACAACCCCTTCCTGAATTTCCTCCCTTCCTCTAACCTCCTAGAAACATTCCATGAGTGCAACACATCTGGTATTTCTGGTCAGTCTGGTTTTCGCCTTCTTTCCGAAAGCAGTTAATGTGAGCATGTCGCGTTGGCGAACGCAGTACACCACTCCTTGAAGTACGTACAGAAAGAATATTGTACCTTCTGAAGATTATTTGCATGTTTTAGAAGAAGTCTCAGTTGATGAGGATCACACATTTTCATTTTCCTTCCTCAAATGATGTTTCCCCCAAAATTACGATTTTAGCGATGTTGAAAATGACATAAGTAATATTTAAAATATGAGGACTTTTTTGTAAAAATAATTTACAAAACGAAGAATGTTGGAGGAAAGATTCTGAAAGAAGAAAAGGAAACTTATAAGTGGAATAAAGTTTCCCTCAAGAGCAAATTCACCAGAACGCCTCAAAAAAAGTTTGATGAAAAAAGTATTCCCAAGTGCCAAAACTTGTGACAATATAAATGATGAGCTTTCTGCTTTCCAGAAAATCATAAATACAAATATGATTGATGCTATCAAACAACATACAAATATTTATCTCAAATGTAACAGGACTGCAGATGATCTCCAAAACATCTCAAAGGGAAGCATGTGTGATACTAACAGAGCAGAAGTATTGGCCTCTTCAGGAATTTTATTCTTATGAGGATACAAAAAAAAATGTCAAAACTCAATTTGGAGGAAGCATGGGAAAAGATGGTACTGGAATTGAAATTTTGCAAGGAATCAAGGGTCTCAAGCGATTCAGAAACCTGTGTGCTGCTATTAGATTCAACGATAAAGGAAGTGCGAAGAAAAACTGATAAGCTTGCTGCACTAAGAGAATTTTTTGGTACTTACGTATTAACGCAACCAGGCCAAAATTCGCATAAATCGCCAGATTTGGCGACCCTACTTAAGGCAACCCTACGTGTTATACGTAGTTTTTCGTAAAGAAATTATTTTTCTTACTGGTTAGATTGAATGCCCTGAAATACTTTAACTATGGGTATATTTCCATGAGGGTAAGCGCCGTTACCCTCATGGAAAAAATTTGCGAAAATATCAAGGAAGGAAGCATCATTTATTCGGATTGCTGGAAAGGATACAATACAAGTGAGTTCGAAAATGCTGGATTTCTGCATGGAACTGTTAATCACAAATATAACTTTGTGGATCCCAACACGGGCGTTCACACACAACATGTAGAGCGCATGTGGGGCTCAGCCAAATGGCGCAACAAAAAACAGAGAGGAACAGCCCGTCATCATCTTGACTCATACCTTATCGAATTTATATGGCGCCAAGCTCAAGCTGTTAATGGCGAAGACGGTTTTCAATCAGTGCTAAAAGCAATAGCCAAAAGATTTCCGCCGAAAAAATAATTCTGCAACTTATTCAAATTCGAAACCGGAAGGGTTTAATTGCTATTTTATATTTTAAAACAAAATAATATAAAAAACTGTATTAAAAATTATCTGTAATTAATAAATGTACATTTTCTTTCTATTCATACTTTTTTACTCAAACTTACAAATCGCGCCAACCTGGTTGCGATAATACGCAAGTACCAATTCTTTTAATCTTTCAATAAGAACTGTCAAAACTTTTATACACCAGGTGACAAACTCACAATCAAGAAGAAGTTGGAACCCTTTTGCAGGAGATGCTCTTTTATTCAATTCATCCCCAACAAGCCTGCAAAGTACAGTCTGAAAATTATTGCAATTGTAGACTCACAAACATTTTATACATTGAAGCTTGAAATTTATTGTGGCAATCAACCCCCAGGACCTTACGAGGCTTCTATTTCAAGTATTGAAAATTTCAAAAGGCTAGTTGGTGCGTATGAAGGTTCCAACCGTAACCTAACAACCGATAATTGGTATACAAGCTACCCGCTAGCTCAATATCTTCTTACCAAAGGTATACCACTTGTAGGCATGCTGAAAAAAAATAAAAAGGAAATTCCAAATGAATTCCAGCCATCAAAAACAAAAGAAGTTGGCAGTTCACTCTTTGGTTTTCAAAAGGATATGACAATTGTTTCATATGCAACGAAAAAATAAGTGTGTAATACTGCTCAGTACTTTACACAATGATGACAAAATTGACCAGGAAATGAATAAACCTCACATAATCCTGGATTATAATAAACGTAAAGGCGGAGTTGACGCCATAGACCAACTTTGTAGTAATTTCACTGTCTCACGAAAAACCAAGAGGTGGACAATGGCAATATTTTTTGCACTGCTAAACAAACATAGTGGGCATAAATTCGCAAGTGCTCTTGAACTTCGCCAAACCTGACGCAACCATCAAGTTCAGAAGACATTTTTGAAAAATTTAGTTACGTCTTTGATGAAACCACATCTTCAGAATCCTCTAAAAATGCCATTTCTCCTGTCGCATTTCAAAGCTAGTATGAGAAGGTTGGTAACAACATATTCAAGACGACAAAAAAGAACAAGGAACCACCTGCAAAAAAGATCAAAGGATGTTACGCTGAGTGTGGTAGAATGAAGAATAATTACACTACCATAAAATGTTTGGAGTGTTCTAAGTTTACCTGCAAAAATCATCTGGGTAAGACAGTACAACTTTACAAACCCTGCTGCAGTGAACAGGGACAATCTGAAGAGGATTACAGTAGCAAAAGATTTTTAAATTTTTCATTTGTGAAATTTATTACTTACCAAACTTTTCTTTACAGAATATTTATAATTTGTAAATTTGATTTATGATCTTATAATTTTCATACAGAAAATAACATAGCATACTATATAACTTTAAATTACATTTCCAGTGCATTCCATTTTTTGAATTAATTAAAAATTCATAATTTTCATCTTTACTGCTTTTTTTTCTGTTATTCTTTAACTTATATTCTCTTTACTTTGACGAATTTCCTTATTAATGCAATGTATAAGATTAACTAGTTTCAAATACGAAGCAGAGGCCTGAAAACTGCCCTGGCATAATTACGTACGTACCGCCCCTCCAGCTGCGGGTTAATGGATACATATTAAAAAAGACATTTTCCCCAAAATACTTCTATAATTGTTTCTGCCCTTTCTCCCTGTGTGCATAGCGTTTTACTTTTGTTTAAAAAATATAACAGAACTGCATAAACTCAGCATTGCACACTGGCTGTTTACTAAATGTCATCGTTTCCTTTAGTGATATTGTAGCAAAATATTGTATTCCTTCAGAAATTTTAAAATTGAGTTTAAGGGGAAAAAATCATGACTTGGAAAAATTGTTAGAACTTGGAATATCATAAAAGGAATATACACAAAAATACTGGCATTGTTTAACTGAAGAATTCTTAGTTGCTTAAAGTATGGTTACGTGCATCATTGTCAAAGTTAGGTACATTCTGAAAAACCTGGCAACTTCTGAGAAGGAGGCTGCAATAATATACAAGTACCTTTTATAATAATATATGTAAGATATAACAAAATATGATAGCTGCTTTAAAAAAATAATTGGTGACCTCAGAATTAACATTCTAGATTTGGTGATCTTCCCCTAAATTCATCTGTTCTCCCAAATTCAAGATCTTTTGACGTTATGTAACACTACTGGAAAAGAAAAACTAATATTAACCAATCATAGCTTGTTTCTAGAATCGCAACTACTCTGGTATAAATACCTCTGGCGAGCTTACCGCATCTTAATTTCTGCGTTATTATTCTGCTAGCTTCTACCTTGCTAATAACTCCTCACTTCACTTCGGTCAAATGCCTGCATCATTCTTTTCAAGAAACCTGCTTTCAATCTGCTTGATGATAATTTTGATATGAAACAAATAGAAGCCTGTCCAATCATTAGCTAAAAAGATGTGTCTATCTTAAATTGCATGACAAAACAAAGTAGTTTGAGTACTATTCAGATGCCTTTTCTTTTAGTAAAAAACAACAACAATACAATGAAATACTTAGACATTAAGATTTTATTAATTTTGAGCACTTTACTGTTATATACTGTATACATATACATATATGCATATATTTCTACAAATTTAGTCTAGTTGATAGATGAATCATAATTGTTTCTACTCTTTAATATATTTGCTAAATGCAGTTTTATTTAGCATGCATGAATTGATAGGTTAAATAAACATATTAAGTGAATTTTTTTAATTAAGTCTTAAAGAAAATTAAAGAGTATATAGACTAGTACACATTAACTGGACAGTTAACAGAGTCATAGCTAGGGTTTCTAGCGCCCAGGGACAATGAAGATTTTGCACCCCCTACTGCTTGCCAAGGATGGAAAACATTTAATTCTAAAATGTCGTAACATCAGTTTGGTGCCCCTTGGATTCTGCGCCTGGGGACAGATGCCCCCCTCTAGCTATGCCCCTGACAGTTAAATTTTAAAGAGGATTACTGTATTTTTAAAGATAGGATGAAATAGACACATCTGAATGCAACTTTTTAAAAACAAAAATAGGAGAACAATCACCTTATGTGAAGAGATATTGGGCTGATCATAGTACAACTTGATTACAAGAACAAATGGTTATATATTTATAAATTAGCTTGTACACTTGATATACATAACTGGAAAATTAAATTTGGAATATGCAGACACAGGAGGTTCCTAAGCAAAAAGACTTGGGAGATTTTTGCACTGCACAGAGGAACCATTTCAAAAAAATTCTAAACTGACTTAAATTCACTCAATAATATATGATTCAGGTTATTCAAGTATTTATAATATGATTTTGATGTAAAACATTTTAATATTTAATTAAATATTCAAAATTTTATGTTCACTGGTTAATTTTACCTTTTTCTTACATTTTTAAACCAAAGAAATCTTAGGCTGGAAAGGAAAAGTTTGATTTATCAAATACTTTTAAATACACTGGAAACCAAATTAATTATTAATGAACATACCATTGTGTGGATATATACCATACACTGATATAAAACAAAGTTAGCTGACTGAAGTTTAATTAAATCTTCATATGAAATTCTATAAATGTCTGCAATAGTTTAGGACAGAAATAGATCAAATAAAATGCAGTAAGAAAAATAAGAGTGAAAATCACTTGAAAAGTAAAATTTGTACAATTTTAAGTTTCCTTAATTCAACAAATTTCATTTAGTACTAAAAAACATTTTCATTAGTAATGGCTAGAAATTAAAAAATTTGAGATGCGGTGATCTACGGAGACACCATAAGATGTGATGTAAAACCAGGGGAATTGGCATCTATGGATAGGGGCTGGTTTGCTTTATTTGAATATGGCAAAAGCACTTAAGGGCTGTCTCCCTAAGGGTAGGGATGCCTTCGTGGAGGGCTTTCTAAGGGAACTGGTTCATATACACATTATCCATGGGAAAACCTACAATGCCCATGCAGCCAGCCCATTCACCAGGATTCAAACCTCGGAACCACCAGCGTTCAACGACTGTTCGGTCGCTGGTGGGTTCTATGGATATGGAAACTCAAATATTCCACTGAAAACCAAAATATAAGAATTTAATAGTTTTAAAAATATCAAATATGCTCAATTTGCCTCTTAAACATTTCAAAGACATGAAATCGAAGAGATAAACTGGCAGATGGAAGCCAATATTATTCCATAATTGATAACGTTTAATTTTTATTACGCGCTAATTTCAAACAAAAACAGCTCCCTGCGCATTAAGAAATAAATGTTATGATCTTTCGCGATATTTAAAAAATGTCATCTGAAATTCAAAGATATAGGTACTATTTCTAATACTAAAATAAAGCGAAATAATGATTTGCATAAGTAAAATCTTACGATTCACAACAAAGCTAAAGAATTACAATGATAATAATTATTTTCAGTCACACATGAAATGTATTACTCAATAAGAAATGAAAACTTTAGGTGATAGAGTACTATGGTTTGATTAATATGAATAACACAGAAAGTATAAGAGACTATATGGACAAAAAACACATTACACACCGTTGCTCGTGCTTCTTTCCAGTTGAACGGTTCCCGAAAAGGAATTACTTGTAGTCTGCTCGGTTTTCTGCGCATTGAATAATCTTCTTCTCTCTTCAATTTACTCTCAATTCAATAGCATGCCTCATCCAAAGCATTCGCGACGGCGAGAGCTACTAGAGTAGCCCTTTGTATAGCCTTAGTATTTGCAACTACATGGATGCTTTTTAAATTTTCTCAGCAGAGAAATCGCAGATTTAAATCTCAGTAGAGAGTGCCGACTCGGAAGATATTTTCTCCGCTACTCCAAAATGCTTGATTGACCTTTCTCGCGATTCTGCGGTAGACAAGCATATTCTGCTACTAGCTTACAAGAAGGCTATGCCTAAGTTTAGGCAAGCAGATTAATGAGAGCTTTTTACCTTTATGAAAGCCATATTGAGCTTTCAGACTAATTCGGCTAATCTTTCGGCCTATGTCTTCTGTTATCCTTGCTGAACCTACCATCAACGACCTAAAATTCAACTCACAACGTACAAAAAGTTATATTGCCAAAAGATCTTTTCCATTTGTACATGGAATGCAAATGGCTTGTACAATAAAATCCATGAAGGTACGGGATTTTATAGCAGAGCACTATCTTGACGTGTTTTTAGTCTAAGAGATTCACTTTATCCCAGGGCGAACTCCCAAATTTGTGAATTATGACATTTAAGGCCCATTTCCACCTCTGCGTATGCGTTTCTCCAATCAGCGAGCGAATTCACATTGATTGACATCTGATATCCGGTCGATGTGCGGTCAAAGATTAGATTGTATTATTCAATTATGGCAAAGCACGGGATGCTTTCGTGGAGGACTTTTTAAGGAAAACTGGCTTGTATACACGTTACACATGCGGAAAAACACGAAAACGTCCATGCAGCCAGCCCGTTCGCGGAATTCGAACCTCGAACCGAATTACCAGTGTTCAGCGTCTTTACCGCTCGGCCACTGCTGGGCCGTGCGGTCAAAGAATATGTATATTTAAACTCAGTCGCTTAAAGGGATTTCTTAATTTATTGCTATTATATCATAAAGCTACTAATTTATTTATCTCAGGTTTCTCCTCAGAGGCAGTTCTGTGCCTCTGTGTTGTGATGCACGTGTTACTGTGCTAGCTGAATGTCATGTGAACTGTTTTAAAAATGTAATAATCAAAGTTTTGAATTCTTGAGATATACTCATTAGTTGAGTCTTCTTTTAAAGTACAGAAGTAATTAAATTCAGCAAACTACACAAGAAGTTACATGGTGTCAGGAGCAAAATGGACTTCAGACCACCTGCTCCGCTAACATTTTCCGTCGGAAATGTTAAAGAAAAGTGGAAAAAATGGAAGCAAGAGCTAGAAAACTATTTACTTGCAACGGAAAAAGATGCCAAGCCAGATAAGACTAAAATTGCAATCCTTTTGAATTTACTCGGTACTGAAGGACTCGAAATTTATAACACGTTTCGATTTGAGCCACCTGAGAATAAAGAGAGAATACGAAGAGGTTTTGAAGTCTTTTGAAGATTATTGTTCACCACCACGGCAGAATGTCGTATATGAACGTTACAAATTCTTTTCGTGTAGCCAGCAAGAAGGACAAACAATTGAATGTTATGTCACTCAGTTAAAGACTTTAGCGTCAACTTGTGAGTTTGCTGAACAAGAAAATGGATTGATTCGCGACCGTATTGTATTAGGCATTCGGGATAGGAGTCTGACCGAACGTTTGCTTCGAGAATCTAACCTAGGATTAGAAAAAGCTATAGAAATAGTCCGTGCCGCTGAAACAAGCAAAGAGCAACTCCGGAACATGAAAGATGATCCAGCGACTGTGAACAGCGTGAAGAAATATAGAAAACAGCAGCATCAATCAAAACAGTCAGTGCCACCGAAATTATCGTCGCAGCAGAAGCAATCAGCACTAGAATATGACTGCAAGAAGTGCGGAAGAAGGCACAAATATCGGGACTGTCCAGCTTTCGGAAAGACGTGTGCGAAATGCAAAGTAAAGAACCATTTTGCCGCGAGGTGTCCCAAGAACATTTATGAAGTTGGAATACCAAATAATGAACTTAGTATATATAATGAACATAGTGTATTTGTTGACTCTGTAATGATGAATCCACCAGTAAACGGGCATAGTGAATTTAAAATAAGTGCAAAATCAATCAAAGATCTAACAAATTCTATTGATGAAGTAAATAAGGATATTCACAAGGTAAGTGAAACATGGGTGAAAAGTATTACAATGTATGTAAATAATAAGTATTTCAAGGTTGATTTTAAGTTAGTTAGATACTGGTGCAGAAGTAAATATTTTGCCTTTGTATGTTTTAAATAATGTTAAACTTAAGCCTAAACTTAATGAAACTGATTTGTTCTTAACTGCATATGGTAATTTTAAGTTAAAACCAGAAGGTACTCTTATAATTAATTGTTCAACTGAAAGGCTTAAGAATGTACCTTTACAGTTTTATGTTCTTGATGTAAGATCTAAGCCTATATTAGGGTTAACAGCTTGTTCTGCATTAAAGCTAATTGAAAGGATTGATTCCTTTAAAGTGCAATATCATTAATAAAAATGATTTAATTGCTCAGTATAAAGATGTATTTACAGTCACAGGGCAATTTCCTGACGAACCATATCATATAACCCTTAAAGATGATGCAATACCAGTAATACACCCCCCAAGACGTGTTCCTCAGGCTTTACAGCCTAAATTAAAAGATACTTTAGATAAACTTGAAAGAGAAGGGATAGTATCGAAAGTAAATAAACCAACTGATTGGGTTCAAAGTTTGGTTATAGTTGAAAAATCTAATGGGAATCTGAGATTATGCTTGGATCCTAGAGATCTAAATAAAGTAATTAAAAGGGAACACTATCAAATTCCTTCTCCAGATGATATAATTAGTAGGTTAGAAGGTAAAAAAAGTATTTTCAGTTGTAGATTTTTAAAAGATGGATTTTGGCATGTACCACTAGATGAAAGCTAGTTCTGAACTATGTACATTTAATACTCCTTATGGAAGATATAAATTTAATAAAATGCCATTTGGAATATCCTCCGCCCCAGAAATATTTCAGAAAAGAAACCAAAAATTATTTGGTGATATTGAGGGTGTGGAAGTTTATTTTGATGATATCATAATTGCAGGATCTGATGAGGTTACTCATGATATAATTATCTCTAAGGTTCTTGAAAGAGCTAGGTCTCTAAATATAAAATTTAATCCTGATAAATTACAATATAGGGTACCGGAAGTCAAATATGTAGGCCAAATTATTTCTGAGTCAGGTGTAAAAGCCGATCCTAGTCATATTAAAGCAATTATTGATATGCCAACACCAAAATCAAAAACTGAAGTAAGGAGGTTGTTATTCTTTTTTTTATTTACTACGTGCTCCGCCCTTAGAAGGAGGTTGTTAGGAATGTTAAATTTTTCTGTCAAAATTCATACCTAATGTATCTAAAGGTTACTGCTCCTTTAAGAGAAATCATTCAAGAAAAGGTAGAATTTAATTGGGAAGAGAAACTCAGGAAGAGTCATTTAACAACATCAAACAACTGCTAACCAAAGCTCCAATTTTAAAAGTTTTCAGTGGTAATGAAGGATATAATTATACAGTGTGATAGTTCGAAGGATGGCCTAGGAATCGTGTCTAATTCAAAAGGGTAAGCCTGTATCATTTGTGTCTCGCAGTGAAAAAACAGTGACTAACAGTGAAAAAAACTATGCACAGATCGGAAAAAGAGCTATTGGCCATAGTATTTTCTTTTGAAAAGTACCACAATTTTGTTTATGGACGGAAAGTCACAGTACAAAGTGATCATAAACCGTTAATGGCAATTTTTAAGAAACCATTGCATAAAATTTCGTCTAGAATGCAAAGGATGATCTTAAAGTTACTAAAGTATGATTTTGAGATAAATTATGTTCCAGGTAATCAAATGCTTTTTGCTGACACTTTGTCACGTGCATATCCTGTGAATGAAACTATCAGTGATGATCCTGAAATGCTAAATGTTGTTCACATTATTGAGAACACATTATTGGGTTCACATTATTGGGGTGAGAGTTAAGTTACTTTGATGATTGGACTTTGTCACTATGGCCGATGGGCCCTCTTTTCCTTACCCGCTCCGATTTCCCGGCTGGGAACTAGCTGATAGTTGACATTCTGATTGTCCTTAGGGGATTAGATCAATCTAGCTTATTAAAGCCCAACTGGGCTAATATAAGCATAAGCAATTAGCATTTAAGCAACCAAATAATATCAATACAAGTATATTTACAATAAGACATACAATAACAAAAAAGTACACAAAAAATGATATATGCAATCGTTACATTATTTTATCCATGACAAAGTCTCTATATCTTGAAGGTTGTCTAATCAACCGTCCACTTCTTGTATTGTACTATTGGATAGATTTATTCTGTTGATTTCCTATATTAACAGGCACAGAAACAATTTTCAGGGCTTCCATTTGAATTTTCTCTTTATCTAATACTATATCATCATAATCTTTTATTAACTTTGTAAGGTGATTTTGAAAATTTTATATGGCGTCTGTTTCTTCGCAATATTTCCCCATTTGAATTCTTAATATATGATCTAGGAGCTTTATGTTTTGAAATTATTTCACCATTTATCCCATTGCCCAGTTCTAAATTGAACAAGGGTTATACTATCTCCAGGTTTTAACTCAGGCAGTTTCTGTGCGGTTCTATCATAATTATATTTTGCCTAGCTTGAAGTGCACGAAATTTAGAATAAGGTTTTGTTTATCTTAGTATTTAACAATTTATTACTGATAGGTAATTTTGTCCTTAATCTTCTATTAAGTAACAGTTGTGCAGGAGACAAATTTATTCCACTAATTGGGTATTTCGATATTCCATTAAGCCTACACTTATATCTTTCACTTTTCTCATGATATTTTTCAGTATTCCTACAGCTTTTTCAGCCAACCCATTACTTTGTGGATATCTGGGGCTACTAAATTTAAGTTCGAAATCCCAATCTTCAGCAAATTTCTTAAATAAGTAGCCATTACAGGGATTATTGTCGCAAACGACTTCATTTGCAATACCATACCTGGCAAAGATGCATTTTAACTTTATCATAATTTCATTTGCTGTTTTATCTTTTATGCTAGAAACCTCAATCCATTTAGAGTAATAATCGATAACTACTAAGTAATTTTGATTACCAAATTGCAAGATATCAAGGGCAATTTTTTCGAATGGTTTAGTTGGAATTTCATGTTGCATTAGAGGTTCTTTTTGATTTCTATTTCTGAATTTTTCACATATTTCACATTTCGAAACAAGCTGCTCAATATCATTTGTCATACTTGGCCAGTAAAAAATTTCACGGGCTCTACTTTTACATTTCTCAATTCCAAAGTGCGCTTCATGAATTAATTGCAACATATCATTTCTCAAACCATAAGGTACAACTAATTTTTCATTAATAAATAACAAATCGTCATTAATATAAAGATCATTTTTAACTTTAAAGTATGTTTTTACACTACTATCTACTTTTTTGTAACATTTAGGCCAACACTCTTTAGTATATTTCATAACTATTTGCAAATCTGGATCTGATTCAGTTTCTTTTCTAAATTGCAGCACTCTTCTTTCACTCATAGGCAAATATTTCGAAATAATGTGAACAACATTTAGCATTTCAGGATCATCACTGATAGTTTCATTCACAGGATATGCACGTGACAAAGTGTCAGCAAAAAGCATTTGATTACCTGGAACATAATTTATCTCAAAATCATACTTTAGTAACTTTAAGATCATCCTTTGCATTCTAGACGAAATTTTATGCAATGGTTTCTTAACAATTGCCATTAACGGTTTATGATCACTTTGTACTGTGACTTTCCGTCCATAAACAAAATTGTGGTACTTTTCAAAAGAAAATACTATGGCCAATAGCTCTTTTTCGATCTGTGCATAGTTTTTTTTCACTGTTAGTCAGGCTGCGAGACACAAATGATACAGGCTTACCCTTTTGAATTAGACACGATCCTAGGCCATCCTTCGAACTATCACACTGTATAATTATATCCTCATTACCACTGAAAACTTTTAAAATTGGAGCTTTGGTTAGCAGTTGTTTGATGTTGTTAAATGACTCTTCCTGAGTTTCTCCCTAATTAAATTCTACCTTTTCTTGAATGATTTCTCTTAAAGGAGCAGTAACTTTAGATACATTAGGTATAAATTTTGACAGAAAATTTAACATTCCTAACAACCTCTTTACTTCAGTTTTTTATTTTGGTGTTGGCATATCAATAATTGCTTTAATATGACTAGGATCAGCTTTTACACCTGAATCAGAAATAATTTGGCCTACATATTTGACTTCCGGTACCCTATATTGTAATTTATCAGGATTAAATTTTATAGAGACCTAGCTCTTTCAAGAACCTTAGAGATAATTATATCATGAGTAACCTCATCAGATCCTGCAATTACGATATCATCAAAATAAACTTCCACACCCTCAATATCACCAAATAATTTTTGGTTTCTTTTCTGAAATATTTCTGGGGCAGAGGATATTCCAAATGGCATTTTATTAAATTTATATCTTACATAAGGGGTATTAAATGTACATAGTTCAGAACTAGTTTCATCTAGTGGTACATGCCAAAATCCATCTTTTAAATCTACAACTGAAAAATACTTTTTACCTTCTAACCTACTAATTATATCATCTGGAGAAGGAATCTGATAGTGTTCCATTTCAATTAGTTTATTTAGATCTCTAGGATCCAAGCATAATCTAAGATTCCCATTAGGTTTTTCAAACTATAACCAAACTTTGAACCCACTCAGTTGGTTTATTTACTTTCGATACTATCCCTTCTCCTTCAAGTTTATCTAAAGTATATTTTAATTTAGGCTGTAAAGTCTGAGGAACACGTCTTGGGGGGTGTATTACTGGTATTGCATCATCTTTAAGGGTTATATGATATGGTTCGTCAGGAAATTGCCCTGTGACTGTAAATACATCTTTATACTGAGCAATTAAATCATTTTTCTCATTATTATTTACTGCACCAGTATCTAACTTAAAATCAACCTTGAAATACTTATTATTTACATACATTGTAATACTTTTCACAAATGTTTCACTTACCTTGTGAATATCCTTATTTACTTCATCAATATAATTGTTAGATTTGATTGATTTTGCACTATTTTAAATTCACTATGCCCGTTTACTGGTGGATTCATCATTACAAGTCAACAAATACCTATGTTCATTATAATTCTAAGTTCATTTGGTATCCACTTTAATTGTTCTTGGACACCTCGCGGCAAAATGGTTCTTATTGCATTTCGCATATGTCTTCCGAAAGCGGACTCCAATTGCCTTTAAGGAATCAATCCTTTCAATTAGCTTTAATGCAGAACAAGCTATTAACCCTAATATAGGCTTAGATCTTACATCAAGAACATAAAACTGTAAAGGTACATTCTTAAGCCTTTCAGTTGAACAATTAATTATAAGAGTACCTTCTGGTTTTAACTTGAAATTACCATATGCAGTTAAGAACAAATCAGTTTCATTAAGTTTAGGCTTAAGTTTAACATTATTTAAAACATACAAAGGCAAAATATTTACTTCTGCACCAGTATCTAACTTAAAATCAACCTTGAAAGACTTATTATTTACATACATTGTAATACTTTTCACCCATGTTTCACTTACCTTGTGAATATCCTTATTTACTTCATCAATAGAATTTGTTAGTTCTTTGATTGATTTTGCACTTATTTTAAATTCACTATGCCCGTTTACTGGTGGATCTATCATTACAGAGTCAGCACATACACTATGTTCATTATATGTACCAAATAATGATTTGGTATTCCAACTTCATATATGTTCTTGGGGCACCTTGCGGCCTCTTTACTTTGCATTTCACACATGTCTTTCCGAAAGCTGGA